TAAGCCCCCCATTCATCACCTAAAAAACGTAAGTGTTTAAAAAGCCATTAAAACAAGATAAGGCAGAGGTGAACAATTCAACACACTTAGACACTAATTGTATTTACGATGTGATCACTACAGTGGAACTGTTTTATGTGTTGAAAGGAGACACACCACAAGAGCAACATAGACATTGGAAAAATTAATCCATATACTGACTCAAACCAAACAAAGTTTATGTGTTTCATTCCAAAGTCCAAAATATAATGCAACATGTGGCAAACATTTAATTTATGTCTCATTGCCCAAAAATACTACTTTTGCACATTCTTTATTCTTTTAGTAGGAAAATTCCAAACTTGGGGGTTGGGGCCCCTCCAATGGGTCACAAGATAAATATTACGGGTCATGACATGTTTTAAAGAGATAGTTTTGGGGAATGTATTTTTTCTCCTTTTTTGGCGATAGATGAGAAGATTGATACCACTCTCATGTTTGTACACAAAAAAGAAGCTACATCTTGCAGCCAATTAGCTTAGCTTAGAACAAAGATGGAGGCAGGGGAAACAGCTAGTCTGGCTCTGTACAGTTTAAACAAGCAAGATTTAACATGTTAAATAGTGAGCTTTAGAGGTGCTGGTTGGCAGGTTTTGTTACTTCCCAGTTTATGTGCTGGAGCTACATATTTAGCATCTATCTCTTGCAGGAAAGCGTACTTCCCTAAACTTATTGAAACTACACACAAATGATGTTATGACTTTTCTCTAATCTTTTTTATTGCTTTTATTTTTCAGTTCTTCAGGCCTTCAGAAAATTATTCAGATCCAATAAATTCAACTGTTACCAACTCGTAGACACCACTCAATATATGATTTGTTATCAAAGAGGGAACAAATGTGGACGCAGAGTTTCAACTACTCAAAGACGTCTGACCGCCCGTCTTTCTGTCTCTGGAAAACGGAGCCTCGTCTCTGGTATAGATTCAGAGGCCGTGTTATTGTTTCCATGCTAGCGTCTCCATCCTGTGGAGCCAGTCCCTCTCTGTGTGTTTTGTCTCAGGAGAGAAGGTCAGGGCTCCAGTACACTTCGTGACTTTCTCTGAATCAGCTGTTTGGAGCCCCAGGCCGAGAGAAAACAGCCTTGGGCAGAGGTGACGTCACTGATAGCAAAACAGAGACAATTTAGAGGTAAGTGGGTGGTGGTGGTGGTGGTGGCGGTGGAGGATACGAAGGGTTGGATAGTTGGGCCTGCCACTGTAGTGGAGTACGGAAAGAGCAGCTGGCAGACCTTGCAGGCCCACTCATGCTCTCAAGGTCTACGAAGTCTCATCTGCTTGTTAGAAAGATATGAGAGGAGTGCGAGGTGTAACTGAAACAATCACCAATTGTTCAAATATGAATTGGGGGACGGATTGGGCAATACAGGTGCCAGTGTTGGGTGTTGATCAGGAATAGACCTTTTTCATGGAACAGCCATTGTTAATGATATTAGTTTGAAAATGTCTGCTGTGCAAAAAGGCGTATTTGTTCAAAAGCAGACCTAATTTCCAGCTTACTTCTTAATATTGTTGTTTGATTGTTAGATTAGGTTAGATTAGTTTTGTTTTATTTGTTCAGGTCGAAGGCTATCTCTCGCTGAGATTACTGCTTGAACCTAAGATGCTGATTGGATTTTTTGCCCACTGAAATTATATTTAAGATAAATGATCAGAAAGCAGAAATTGTAGAAGCACAAGTGTAGATAATATATTTAATGATGGCTGAGTCATGGGACAGGGAGTACCCCAGGGGCTGAGGGCTCAAGGCTGTGACCATGGGCCGCAAAGGCCCTGGTTCAATGCTCAAAATTCAAGGCAAAGGTATTCCTCTTCTGAGAGAACTTACTAATATTAATTTTTCTCTTAATCCTTCTCTATCTTTTTCTTTCAAAAAACTGCATTTGTTTTTCATGCACCTACAATTTTCTGGCACCTATTGTCAACAATGTCTCCTTGATCTTATATTTCACCTTAATTTGCACATTACTTTAGCGCTACTTCAATAAATGAGTATGTTTATCTCTCCTCTCGTTTCCTGTCATCCCTCTAGCTGTTTGATCTCAAATAATAAAAAAAATAATAATCTAGTCCCATAAAGTGTAACCAGAAATTGGTTACAATATATGGAGCCTATATATGGAGCCACTGTAGCTGATGCACCTCTTCAAAAATGTAATTACATATCAGGATCACACCTATACCATGTAGACACAACCCACACATTTCTGATGCCATTGTGAGGAGCTTCAAGCTAGTTGAAAAACAGGTTCAGCAGTCATCTAGCGAAGCCATCTGCTCGCTGTAACTGTCGCTGTCTGTCACACTGCATGACAGAATGTTTATACAGTGATTGCATGAAAATAGTCTTCTGCTACTTATACCATTATATCTAGGCTATAAAACAAAGTGAATAAACAAATCACTGTGGGGTATATTATGAAAGCAAGATACAGCTTGAGCATATACAATACCATCTATCTAATTCTTAATGTGGTTTCTTTATAGAGACCATTGTCAACACTATAAAACTATTCACAGTGGTGGAGGCAAAAATCTCTGGGACATATATTGCCACACCTGGATAGATAAAACCAAAATTATCCACATATCTATCTATGGCTGGATACCACTTGAATTATTATTATTATTTTTTTTTGGGGGGGGTGTAATTTGGCTCCACCCGCCTTCTAAATGCATGCAGAATAGCAGTAAGATGCTAAACAATGTCTCAAAGAAACTGTCTATCCAAGCAGGAAGTTCCGAAGTCTGGCCTTGACCTTCTGTAAATACAGTTAAACTTTCCTTTCAGGGGAAAATGTGTTCAAATGTGTCTATAGCTTTTCAGTCAGAAGAACAAATAAGCCCTCTGAGATCTGATAAGATTTGAGCTTCACTCAAAGAGCTCTGGAGCTCCACCAGACTTGGCCAACTTTGCACTGCACTTGTCCTTCCATGACCGTACAACCTCGCCATGTCCCAGCCTCTCACACTTTACACACATGCAGACAAACACACATTCACACAGCTCCCCTTCCGCACACATTAAATACACTCTCAGACTGACTTGGAGGTTTCTGTCGCCCTCTCCTTCACTTTAGTCAGTTGCCAGACAATGAAAACATTGAGAGGTAGTTTCTATGGCGTGACCAGGGCTTTTGTTTGACTGAGAAACATATGCATTCTACATGCTCCAATTATGGTTTTATCAGATCGCTGTCAAACACACCAATCATGCGCTTTCCTTTGTGCCCTCTCTAACGGTGTGTACTGTACCACACGGAGCAGTGGCTCGCTGTGTTTGCATGTTTGCCCATGGTGGGAGTATAATATCGCAGACTGGTTTGTGTCCCTGTTGGCAGAAAACACGCGGCTTAGTCGAAAAACAATGTGTCACAATCCCTTCTACTTCACAGTAACAGATTGGTTTCGAATGCAGACTTTCCTTGTGTGACTATGACAGCAAAATTAAACATGAGTCGTGTTGCCCTTCTCCCGTATCTAACAAACACTGACGCTCTGACTGCCACCACTGGGTCTCCTATTTAAAAAAAAAAAAAATTTAGGCCATATCAGGGTGATCTGCAGCACGTACAGTTAAATCCCTTATTGTGACTTGCACTGTACGCCTCAACAAAAGAGGCTAAGAAAGACATGGCTGATCTGACTTGCCATTGGCTCAGTCCTCGATTGGCCTGACTTCCGTTCAGTGTCAAAGTCACGTCCACATTGCCAGTTATTTCACAAGAATGCTGTTATCGTAACCAAAGTTGTATAACTATAATATAAATATGTAAAGACTGAATGTACACTTGAAGCTGGAAAACTGTTGGATACTTTTATGAACATAAAAAACTGCCTTAGAAATATAATTTGATTGTGTTTCCAAACAAACGTGAAAATGAATCCCATTCTGAACTTCAAAAGGAGAAGTCCTCCAGCTTGACCCCAGACACCGTGGCCAGCGTGTGTGGTTTGTTTTGATAGACACCGGTCAGCAGCTTAGGTGCTTAGGCTCCACTAAGCCCAGTGTTTACAGATCTGCTAAAATGCAGCATTATAGCCCCGAAATACTGCATCCAGGCAGGCAGACTGCGCTGGGGTCTGAGGTCTGGACTGGCTGATATTATCCATGAAACACAATAAACATAACATGATAATGCCGGTGAATCAAAGCAAGGCTGGAGCGGTTGTCACAGCTGGTATCTTCCGTGTAACTCCATGACACAATGTTAGTTGAAAAAACAAAATCTGTGAAACAGTGATAACGGACTTGTAAACCATTTTGGTAGCCATTTTGGCATTTTTTTCAGCCATTTTAGTAGGATAAACAAAGGTATTACCAATGATATGAATTAAGATTCTGTTCCAATAAGGTCAAACTGAGTCAGGGTGCTATTATTGTGCATGTTGGCTTACTCGAAGGGCTCTGAACCTTAATAGTTGCCATTGTTAATACCTGTTTTTACCCAACTATTTCATGTCAAAATGGCTGCTGTGAAAAAGATTTATACAGCAACAAACTTGAGAAAAGAAGAGACACTGAGTCAGTCAGGAGGAATAGAGTAAACAAAAAAGAAGTAATCTTTAAAATCTTTTCAGTGAACTAATTTTGCCAGAATATTTTTGCAAATGTCTTTTTTTATTAAAGGGGATTTCACTGATCCAACATGACACATGATTGGGAAAACACAAAAAAGTCAACTGTGTAACCATCTCTTTCTGCACAGTTGATTCAGGCTGCAAGCTAAATTATATGAATAATTTTAAATTGTTGAGTTTATTGACACAATGAAAGAAAGAAAAAAAATGAAAGAATTGTTCAGCTTTTGCGGGGAAATGTTTATTTGATCAGAGTTTAATGAGAAGGTTTAGCTTGGCATAAAGACTAGAAGCAGGGGAAGCCGTTAGTGTGATGCACTCCAGAGATCAAAAGTAAGCCAACACGTACCTCTAAAGCTTACTAATAAACATTGTAGTGTTGTATTTTAATCCGTACATAAAATGAAATGTAAAAACGACAGGGAGTTACATGCTGTAAGGAGGGATGAAGGCAACTCCCTTTAGAACCACTGATTAAACAAACAAGATAAAACATGTTAACTAGTGAGCTTTAGAGGTGTTAGGTACGCATTTTTTAACTATGCGAGCTGTTTCCACCTGCTTCTAATCTTTATGCTAAGCTAGGCTAATCACCTCCTGGGTCAAGCTCTAAACTTTAGACATTCGAGTGGTATCGATCTTCTCATCCAAATGCCAGACAAGAGGATGTAGCAGTAATGACAGTGAAAATCACAACACGTCTCATTACAGAGCTTTGAGGATATTTTATTTGGTGAAAGAATAATTCATAAACTGCTTACGACAGTCTTTATCTTCCTGCGCTTGTTGTAAACATTACAACGTAACGTAGCATAAGCAGAGTTCTTATCACAAAGCATGTAAGTACAACACCTTAACGTTTCCTCATCTCACAGCAGCCTTGCTGTACATGTTCTGTGAGTCATTCATCAGTGTCCTCTACACCTTAGACTTTTGCCCCCAAATGAAGTATCTGGAGCACTACATGACAAACGTGGCTCCTCTTAACTTTGTAGAAAACATCTATACATCTTGGCATTTTATGGCAGAACGGAGAAAGGTCATCATGAAGGTCGTTGAAAAGATCCAGCGAGGGTGAGGACTGAACTGTGTGCACAAGTCTGTGTGGGAGAGAAGGAAGCAAAGAGGGATGAATAGAGGGAGGGAAAGGAAGAAGAAAAAAGAATTATGACTGGGAGGTAGGCTGCTTTCCGACACCACGCATGGTGAAGGCTGGTGTGTAAAAGGCACACCGTAGGAGCGTGCATACATGCACACACATACACACACACACACACACACACACACACACACACACACACACACACACACACACACACAAATACACACCTAGTGGGATTCCTACCTGTGACTCAGGTCAGTGGGAGTCTCAAGAGCGGGAGGCGGTAATCAGTAACAGTGTTATATGGCTGTGTTAATCGTTAACATGGCCCCTAGACACTGTGCCCCTGGCCCAAGCACCTGCAGCCCCTTTTACAGGCATCATCCACAGAAAGAACAAATAGTCTGAATGCTTGTTGGGCACATCAGCTTTACGTGAACCATCTCATCTGACATGCCAACAGGTGTTTGGGGAAAAAAGTAAGGTCTTTGGTTAGAACAGGTTCAGTTACTAGAGATCGACTTTGCTATTAGCTCCATAAAACCTCGTCATGCTCTGTACAACTTTATTGTCCAGTTTTTCTTCAGCTATCCTTCCAGGGTCACACTAACAGGAGTGAGTGCTATCTGTCTGCCCAACTCCCCCAGATGGCCTTCTGGCTTCACACACACACACACACACACACACAAATGAATATTTGACAAACACCACTGTCAAAATCTTGTAGCTGTTTCAAAATTTGCCATTGCTTTCCGTTGTCTCGCTTTCTCTATCCATACACAAGCACTGGCAGGCACCCACCCGAACAAAACACATGCCTTCCTTGGTTCTTGATAAATAGAGACAGCACAAAATGAAGCTCAGGTCAGGATAACCTCATGGTGACCCACCGGCTCTTTCTCCTGTAGTGACCTCTCTCACCAGCTGCTAAGTCTGGCCTGTTGGCCCATCCCTGCTGCCAGGTTAACCATACACACACACACACACACACATACACACACACACACCACTACACTTGTGCATAAATGTACACACACACAGCAGTACTTCCAGAAACTTCACAGCAGTCAGGTCTTCTCTTTCTACAGTTGGTTTGCGATATACCTTTTGTCAGTATTCCACGTCTGAGCAGAATTGATCAAGTCTCAAAGTCCAAGAGCTTGATGCGAACGTAATGGCAGTGACATCAAGAGCGCACCAAGGCAATGTTAATGCTTCTCTATCCAGGCAGATGGAAGTGTGCGTGTGTACACAGTGCAAACAGACCCTTGTACCGAGAAGGCAAAGCTGGAGTACTCGGTAGTGTAAAAAAATCTGGGCTAATGTCTGTTTCTCTCACTAAATTGTTTTTTGATAAGGGAATATCTGGAGATAAGTGTTGTCACTATCCTATCTGAAAAACCGGAAGCCAGTTCGATAAATCTCCCCTGTAATCTAATAGGAGTCATGGGCAGTAGCTGCCATCGAGGAAACACTGTCTGCTGCACTGAAGTGAAGACTTACTCTGATTAAAGAACAGGGGAGAAGTGAGCCAACACTGTCAGCTTGTAAAAATTTATAACATCTTTACATTAAACAAATGACTATCGCTACTTATTCAGGATTACTTTGGATTTGTTGACACGTTAAAGTAATACTGATAGCCTTTGTCAGTTGCCTAGTGACAGTGTATCTCTGTTACAGCACACACAGCCAAAAGTGAAACAAAGTAGAAACATTTGGCATATGTATTACATTCTGTTTATCTGAGGCAGGGCCACGATGGTGACCTGTTTAAGGATGAAAATGTAACCTATACAGAGAAGGTTTGTATGTAAGATAACCAATACATGTCATTTTCTAGCTGTTATATAGTTTATTTTTTGTTTAAAGCGGAAATATCTACATTACTACAGTATATTTTCCATACTGCTATATTGGTTTTGGATGATGAGGACCTTTACCCATCTAAATATTGAAAGAAATACTGGAGGTTTCTTGCATTTTACATTTAGATTTATTTTTAGCAGTGACGTGCTTTTCAGTCACATTTGACATACTCAAACCCCAGTTAATTTCAGCACAGCATTTTACACTCTGTCGCCAAAGGCTGATCAAGTTTGTGATCTCCATTGTTGTCTAAAAACAATCACAAACACATCAGTGAGCCACACTGTTATATGATTCCTCCTTACCATGAACATGATCGGTTTCATATATTTTGAGGCAATTCCACACACACACCGTCCTGCTGCTGTAAGAGCATTTTTGTGCACCTGAAAGTAGTCCACACAAATTCACTATTTATTCCTGGTTGAGGGGCATTTGCCGAAAACTACAATTCCCTGCTGTTTCAGAAAATTTGTTAAAATAAAGCAATACGTTTCAGGTTGTGTGCCGCACCCAGACAAGGTAGTAGTAAGAAAAATATCAGAGTACAATAAGGTAGTATTTCTCTGGCACTTTTACCAGTCACTCTTTAAATGATTTGATAACTTAACTTTGTAGCACTGTAGTAAAAATTTGATAAGAAAGATAGTCATTTAATGTTTCTGATATAGTCGATCACACCTTTGAGTAAATAATCAGCACACTGTAACAAATTTAATCGGACTACACAAATTAGGAGAGTTGGGTAATGAGGGTTAAGCAAAAAACATTTAAAAGGCATTAAAGGGCTAACCTTGCACAACAGCATGTGGCAGAGAGGATGGCTGTTGCCTTAAAGATCCAGTGTGTAACATTTAGGAGGATCTAGTGGCAGAAATGAAATATAATATGCATAGGTATGTTTTCATTAGTGAATAATCACCTGCATATAGGAATCATTGTGTTTTTGTTACCTTAGAATGAGCTGTTATGAGCAGACAAACCAAACAGAACCAAAAGCAGACACAGGTTTTATGGTCACCTGTAGTTTCTCCTTCATGCTTGAAAGGGGAAGGTGAAGCAAGGGTGTTGCAATCTGTAGCTACACCGCAGGATGCCACTAAATACTACACTGATCCTTTAATGGGGGGTAAAATGTATCTGAAATTAGAAATTAGAATCATTTAAGGATTTAAGTTTACGTCATCACTGTATAAACTCCACTTTCTTTTGTATTATCATTGTGAGGTTGATATTGTAGGAGGCGGCGCATTTATTAAACGCTTCCTTGTTGGCGTGCTTTACTGTGGGAAACTCCAACATCTGGGGTTTAAAAGTCAGCTACAGAAAAAGCCTCACATTTATGATGTCGGGAAATCAGACCTGGATGGCAAACAATATGTTAACACGGATGTTGTGAAAATTATATTAGGAGCTTTGTAGTTTTTCATAAACGACAGATGTCTTAGATTCACCAACAAGGAGGAATTCTCCCTTGTCCCTGCTTGCAAACTTTATAACAACAATGTAACTTGACTGAAAATTGGTTCTGTAATCACTGCAAATTGATTTGCGTATGGTTATGGCTTGAATGTATTGGACCAGCAAAACCTTCTCTCAGTGCCACAGAGGCCCTTAATCATTCTGTCTCCTCACTGTTGTTCAGATCCTTTTATGACAACAACCTAACTCTCTGAGCTGGAGGAGAACGGGGTCTCCTCCCCCCCATGGTGACCTGAGCTCCCAGGGGTTGGTGTTAAGTAAACTTTGTCAGCCATGCAACGATCTCCAGCAGAGAACTGTCTCTCTGCTCATCAGGAGACCTTCTCCATGACCCCCACCTCTCTGCCTTGGCATTCCTCTGCCACACCACCTCCCTGACCCACCTTGTCTTCATTTCTCCTGCCCTCCCCCGTCAGCCCCGCCATCCGTCCGTCGCCCTGGGTCCTGCTCTCTGTCCCATCAGCCCCGTGCGGCCGGCTGGTGTCTCCTTCGTTGGAGACAGCCTATCAGGGGCCTCACGTCATCTGTCTCCAGGACCTGACTGACAGGTCGACCTCAGAGATTACCAGCTACTATCAGAGAAAGGGGGGGTAGGGGTGGGGTGGGAGGGGGGTTGTCTGTCCTCCCTAAGTGGATGCTCCTTTCTCTCACCATAACACTGGTTGGGAACTGGAACCTGCTTTAGGCCTCTGAGAGTCTGATTTGGCGTTTTATCTGTCTGGGAGCTGCTCTGTTGATTCGCTACAAGGTCTGCGGGGACAGAGTACCAGACAGTGACAGATATCAACTATCTTGGTCAGCGTAGACACAAAGAGGAGAGAAAACCTCAAGCTTGTTGGTCTTTGCTGTAAACATGGAGTGAGTTTCGACTGTCCATCCAGTGGGGTTTGTAATAACAGCAAATTGCTGGTCTGCTATCAAGGTCCAGATGCTGCATTCCCAGGATGCATGCTGAGACCTTCAAACCTAATATTAACAGGACGGGGGATTTTCTGGTGTGAAAATTGTTCCAGTGCAGGTTGAGAGTATTCCATGAAAATCATGTTAGTGTCTTTTTGACTCAGACACAAAGCAAAAACTAAAAAACGAATAATTGAATATAAACACGTATTAAAAGAGTAGTTAGAGTAATTTGGGGAAAACACTTATTCATTTTATACTAGAAGAGTGATACCTCTCATGTCTGTATGCCAACTATAGCAGCAAGTTAGCTTAGCTCAGCATAAAGACTGGAAAGAGCTAGCCTGACTCTGTCCAGAGGTTATAAAATCTGCCTACAGACATCTTAGTTCACTAAATCAGAGTTGCGGGGGTTTGTGTGCTAGAATTTCTCTTGGCTGCCATAAAATCTCCAGTCTTTACGCCTATGCTAAGCTAACCGGCTGGTGACTAGCTTCATGTTCACAGAGAGACATTGATCTTTTTGTCTAACTCTGCAAGAAAGTAAATAAGTGTGTACCCAAAAAGTACAATTATTCCTAAATTAACCTTTAAATTGTCAAAACATGACAACTTTTGAATGTTGATAAAGTCTTGCCTTTTGCTTTCTATGGCAGCCCTGGTATATAATCCAGCCTCACTCTTTCTACACTGACTCTACCAGAAGCCTTTGGACTTAAAAAAAAAAAGGCCCTTTCTCTCAGCCAGGTGGTGTGAGGCCGGCTAACTCTCAAGCTCTCGTCACCGCTCTCTGTCTAGAACATGGAGCCCGGGGATATTTGTGTATCGTGTATTGATTTGGAGGTACAACCCTTGGCTGTAAAACAAAGATAAAGAAGTTAGGCATTAACTATTTTTTCCAGGGGTCACTCTGAGCCTGTTTCACATAGCTGGAACCCACATGGAAAAAAAAAAAGACCAAAATGCCTGCCCGTGTGATGGACTCTGGAATATTGATTTTTCTCTCTGAACAAAAAAACAGGCCTTTGCAGTCAGTATTTCCCTCTGAGCTCAGATAGGGTGCTGCTGCATTCCTGTCTACTCCCTCCAAGGTTACTGTCTGCTCGGCGGAGGCGAGCACCTGTCAGATGTACGCTTGTTTTGTTATACTACGTGTCTTTGTAGCATTTGCTGTCTCCATAGAACCTCCTGTTTTTTTTTTTCTTCCAGTAATGGAAAGAAATAGTTAGAAACAAAAACGGATCGCTCAGGGGAATTCAGCTTGGGGAGTTTCCTTATTGTCTCTGTCTAACTTCACAAGGATTACAAACTGTTGAACTCTCGCATGTGGCTTAAATACTACTCCCAGAGCCAACCTTGTTTAGAGACCGTCACCTGGCACCATGCAGGAGGACAGTGTCATCAACACCACATTGTTTGCTTAGTTGAGAGTTGAATGTGTTGAGGTTTGCACTTGTTGATTAAGAATGTCTACCCCATTGTTCTACATACCTGCAGAGGTGTGAAATGTATCACATCTAAAGACAGCTCTAGTTTCTATTAGTTAATTATTTAATTAATAAGAATTTACTTGTTGCTCTGGTGTAACCGGGTAATATGGTAGCTATTCATGCCTTTTTCAAATAAATAAATCTAGATTATGAACACACTAATAGTGGTTCTTTACAAATGATGCTTTCTGCGTTAGTTAATCCACTTAATCCTAAATTACTTATTTATTTTTCACCATTTTTACATGACTGTAAATTACTGTTCTGTTAGTGTTTGTAATCTACCCAATAAAATTAATAGGTTGCAGCATTTCTAACCCCGTCAGGAATCTTTTAAATCTCAGCATCAAAAGCACCTGACAGTTTACTGCCTAGGCAAAGGTTGCACCTCCACAGTTTTATAGAATTATTAAGTAAGCAATTATGATAACCCACTGTTTTAAAGATAATAGGATGATAAGGTTCTGCCAATCTCACACTGTAGTTTGCCCTTATGCTGCTCTTCCTGAGAAGAAAATCAATATCTTTTGCACTCGACATGCCGAGTGTTTATTTTACCTGTCAAGGATTAAAAGTTACAGATGATCCTTGCAAAATAATAATTATAATCTTAAAAACCATGCACCTCGTTGCTACACATTGTAATGACCCTGCTTGGCTAGTGGCATTTTATCAAAGCTCATAAACCTTGAATGACTATATATTGATAAAGACTGTTTAAAGTGTCATTGGAACGATAACATTTGCACTGTAAATGTGGCATGCAGGCTCCAGCCTCCAATGCTGTGATGATAAGAACAAGCACTGAGTGGAGCTGAAACCAATAGGTCAAAAGCCACAGAAAATTTGGTTTCAGGATGTTAAAAGCCAAGTTTTACTTTGTCAGGATCATTAAATGAACAAAATTAAATGAACTCCTGTGGGTCTAAATAAATAAATTAAGTGTGATAATAAGTAATACCGGGCAAAGCATTTGTGACTGACGCAATTTGCCCGTAAACGCTGAACTTGAAATAATCAGTAAGGAATACTGGTTGTAACCCAGTGCACAACTTTAAACCACGCTGCTGTCCTGAAACCACATGATTTTTTGTTTGTAAAATACAAAAGGCAATTATAAGAATAATAAAAAAAATATTGAAATTACATTTAAACACAAAAAATGTAACTAAATTACAAAAAGGTAGACAATATACTATAAAAAAGTATTGCTAAAATACTTGTTTTTGCTTGTTTTAGTTAAAGGAATTTTATACCCACATATATAATGGAGCTTACTAGGTGTTGTTTGTGTAAACCTTCTCCCTCTACATCTTTAAATAACAATCACCCACGGAGAGAGAGATGGACGAGTGCTTTGACACTTTGCCCTGATCAATATCAATAAAGCAATCAGCATGTCAGGGACCTATATGTTTTGAGGAGGGATCTGTGGGAGAGGATAACTGAGTTTATGGCTTTACTGTGGAGGTGGGGCTGCTGCTTTCAGGTACACCAACCCACCCATACAAACAGACAAACACATGTATGGTTATATCACATAAGGGGACATCAAGCAATTCCCTGAACGTTTACCATAACCGTAACCACGCTTAATTCTACCTGTAAATGATTATGAAAACGAAGAAGACAGTTTAGCTCCTGATTGCACTAGCAGTTAAAGCAGAACAGTTTATGCCTTCAGTTTGACAAATGTCCCCAATTCACTGGCTTAAAAAAATAAAAAAATAAAAAAATAAATTGGTCCCAAAATGCAACACACACAAATCCTCAGGCCCCACTTCAGGCCCTTCCCTTCTTCTCTGGTCCTCGAAGAGTCTGTCCAGACAGCCAGATTGCACTTTGCCCAGCCCAACCATAAACCGAGACAATAAATTCAATAGGACCTCTGAACTGGATGACATGAGAGAGAAAGAGAGGGAGAGGACCTTCAGACAGTCCACGATCAATTCCTCCAACATGGAAGCAAGGCCCAAGTGGCCAAAACAGATGGAAAGAAGCATTTCTCCCGTTTTTCTTTATCTATGTGGTCCAACTGAATCCAAGAATTGATTTCTGCAGCTACAGGTTTTATGTTTCTTTTTTTTAAACAAAAAACATACTTCTGAGAATTTGAAAATTTCAAATAATATGTTATAAAAAAATGCATTGCAGATGGCAGTGACTGAATGAATTTCTGTGGGTTGAAATGCCAAACCTACAATAATTTCCCAATGAGACTTCACAAATTAATACAGTAAAATCGGAAAAATGCTTTTAATGTTCATCAAGCAAACTTTCTGTTTTCGTAGCTCAATGCTGAGACCCTGAAGGATCTTCACCTCTTGGTCCGGGCTTAAGTTTTGCTCAGACAGTTTAATGAGATGTCCCTAATGGTGTTTCTAGCAGCAACGGAGCACAACTGGCATCACAACAAGTGAAGTTCAAGTTCTGCATCAAGATGTGGTAGTAAATTTAAGCTTTGCTGCCAGCCGAGGTGATGATTAACAACTCCGTTTCAAAGTGAGCCTACTGCTCTGAAACCAACAAAGAATAACTTCCTAGATGAATTATCGTGTCTATAACTAGCTCTCAGACCAGAATAGAATGCATGAGTAAGTGTCCTACTGTAAATATTGTTGATTTATCCACAAACATAAGTGTATCTATGACAGGAGAGACCTACAGAATGTAGTCATTGAGTGTACTGCCACCTTGTGATGTGCTATGAAACCTGCATGTCAATACCCAGTTGTCAGAGCCCCACTTCACAGTAGAGAGAATATATTCATTTCTGTCATAACTTCAGAATCAGTGCCAAGGGCAAAGTCTGAGGTAGGGGGACACAGACTTTTCCTCCCCTGCAGCATGCTGACTCTGGCAGCAGATGGATGTCACTGACCCTTCTCAGTGATCACAGCAGAGACTTGAAGCAGGGTCAGTCATTTTCCTGATCGTGGTTGCCCGCTCTCCTCTCCAGGGGTTCAATTCATCTCTATCTGCTGCTCAGTCAAGCCTGCAGAGCCGGGCCACCATCACTCACACACTGCCGGTGGATTAGCTGACCCCCCGGTGTGGGAGTAACAACCCCTGCAGTCCAGTCAGCAAACACTGCAGTCTTCAAGCAGCTGAAACCGGCAGGCGCGGCGGTCAGGGATCCTCCCCAGGATCAGGAGAGATAGTGGCGTCTCCAGCACCCTGACAGTCAGTCAGCAAAGCAGGGCTGGTCTGCATGGACAGGCAGCATGTTCCTAAATGTCTCTATTGATCTTGCAGATTATTTTTAACAGCATCATTTTGTGATTTTTATGATTCTCACATACACTACATGGCCAAAAGTAGGGATTTGCTCCCATGCAGCCTCAAGTGCATCAGTGAGTTCAGCCACTACAAAATCTATGTTACGGCATACAACTACAGCTGCAACATATAGGGTTGAGCTTGATTCAATGTGAAGATTGTTGTTTTATTTGTAACTGGAATTTCTTTGGATTTTGGGCGACAAAACCGAGACTTGGAATTGGTGGGGTAAATTATGACTTTTTCATTTCTTGACATGTTAAGTCCAGAAAATGAAATTATGAATCCAAAAAACAATCAAATTAATCACAATGAAAATAATCCTTAGTGGCGGCCATGCTTCTAGGTAACTTCGTTCTGCTTTGAGTGGAGAGCAGAACTCTGACAACAAATGTTATACATCACTCCACCAAGCCTAAGAATTACTGACACTATAAGCAATGTGCAAAGCATTATATACTTCCCCATCTTCAAAGAAACGGGAACATTTTGAACAGTAAAATATACATAGTTACCATTCGTTACAGTATGTCAATCATCCTAATAAAAAAATTGTAAAATAAGTAAAACTACAAGAATACATCTCATTTTACAACATCATTGTGTGCTGTAGTATTAACATTTCTCTTAAGTAGAATTTAGGGGACCAAACAATAAACTGTGAACATGTCCACACACTTATGGCAATGTAGTGTATATTCTCCACTCAGGAAGTGGCCAGCAGCAGCCTTTCACTCGCTGCCCAACACTGTAGCAGGAGAACTATATGAAGGCCCATTGTTTCAAAGACAGGTACTAGAGTATAAAATGACAGAGTACCAAATACATGACACCAGACTATACACCAACTGTCTAGGCCTTTTGCCAAGTGATCTGAGAGGGTATAAGGAGGTGTCATAGTCTCCCCTACAGTCAGCGTGTATTGACAGAGTGAGAGGGTGACAGCATGATGAATGTCTTGTTATGAGCAGCGGCAAACCTCTGCTGCATGTGAGCCAAGCCCAAAGATGTCCAGGTTATGAATGGACTAGTCAATGAGCTAGAACATAAATGGCCTTTGGTCATAATTCCTTAGTGCTATGGAGATGCCTTGTCAGATGTCCCGCTGTCACACCGCTCACTGGAGAAGATGCATCACTCTATTCAGGTCTCTCTCATCTCCCCTGAGTGGTTTTCTTTGCTCTTTACTCTCTTTTCTCTCTCTCTCTCTGATTTGCATAGCTGACCTATCACACGCTGGTGCTGAGTCATTATTAGGTGTTAGCATTTTCAATTACCTCACACCTCCCATCTCTGCCACCCTGTCTCCTCTGTGAGGCAGACACCGCACAGCAGGAGAAAAGCAACAAAATGTTAATTTACTGCTCATAAGAAGCAAACTACATCAGAGCTCCACTTGAAAAACAAAACAAAACAAAACAAGTTAATGAACAATTCAGTAGAAGATGTTAGAAAAACAAACTTCTAATGTCCCATGGTTCATTTAGAACTTTATTTCAGCTATATGGTTGTTTTAAAAGCACTTAATAGCAATACAGACTGAACGGTTTCCATGATACATGTCGTACTGCATATGTCAAACATTCATGCCAAAGAAAATACTACTGATACATTTCCAACAGGACAGTTACAGGTATTGAAAATAAAAGTATAAAATCGGCTTTTTCAGAACAACCATAACAAGACAACACTACCATAAAGCGTATTAGTGCTTCTAGCTTAAAGTGTTATCATGATCAATGAAAAGAAACAAAACTGTACTCAACAAAGTTTGCTTTCAGTCATAAAACGAAAAGGAAAAAAAAATAAAAAAATGCTTGTATGCGGTTGCAAATTCCCACATAGCGGAGCAAGCGAGCCACCTTGCTGAGTCTCCACTTGGGCAACTGCCTTTTAAAAGAGGTAAGGCAAGTTCTGTCTTTAAAAAAACCATTAGCTTTCCTCCCAAATAAAACACTGGTGAAAAGATACTTGACACTTTTGACAACAAAATGTCTTTTTTTCTGTTTCACAAATGAACAAGTTAGGCGTACAGAGACCTATTTCAGAGAAAAATGCTTCTACTGATGATTGCTAGAAAGCTTTTGCCAACGAAAAGCAAATAAAAAAACATCACGAACGTATCTCAACATTAATATCAAAGCAGAATGTTTGAGAGATTTTGAGGCTACATATTAGGAAGGCAGTGATACCTACAAATCCTATTTTTGGGCAGCAATACAAAATAATTTATTCTACATTTTCATCTTAGTGCTCTAATAGATTGTACTCTCTAGCTCAATAAATGTTGATTTTGAGAAAAGGAAATACACTTAAATAAAAAAGTAATACAAGATAAAGAGCACCTTATCCCCATACAAGTTATTTAACAAGTAGATTTTTGGAAGCAAATGGCACAGTCATCAATGGTAAATTAGCAATGCTCATTGAATTGTACTTTTTTTTTTTGTCAGACAAATACCACCAAGTCTCAACAGTTTAACATCAAGTTGTGACAAGATACACTTGTTACAGAAATGTTTGCATCGTGTGGGTTTGTGTGTACAACAAACAGGTACTTCAAGGGGCTGATCACTGGACAGAAGCATGAGTTTTTGTGTGTTTGTCTTGAATTCTTAAATCCCTTACACAATGGCTCTGGAATTCGCAGCCAAAAATGGTGTTTGTGACATCTACCGTCATTCTCGGTACAGCTTGGAAACAAAGTACGGGTATGGTGTGCTACCTGGCAGTTACTACAACTCTTTGTGTTTTTATTTCTGAGCTGAAGTTAACCTCCAAAGTCAGTGCAGAAAAGAGCTTCTTCCCTGACTCAGCTTTTCTAGTGCAAAACTGCCAACATCTGGTCTTCAACTGCAAGGACAGTCGGCATACAGCGTGTCACAACAGCCAAACTGAACACAGACATGAAGCTAAAACACTCACCGAAACTTTAAGTGGTGCAAACAGCAATGTGTCACAAACTTAGCCATACTGTCGTGAAAGATGAAGTACTTAAAATCCACATCTGGAGCTTCCGATACCAATACACGTGCATAAAGATTTACAAATACAATAAAACCTGACTGCAGCTGGCATTGACTGCAACAGATGCATGAAAACTTTACATCAAGAGGTAACTGGCCGACCTCTGCGTCACCTCCTCTGATGTCCAGAGCTGTTCTAGGATGAAATCCAGAAATGGGACTTAGGCCCTAAAGTAAGAGTATGAGTCTAAAGAAGCCACCATAGACTCAAATGAGACATAAAAGGTTTCACATATCAAGTAAAAACTGAGAAAATGACACAGAAAGGAGAATGAGAAGGGGATGGTGGGAAAAGAAAGGTAGAGAGAAAAATGAGAAAAAGGCGACGCCCCGTAATGTGAGCGTCTTTCTGGCTGCAGTTAGGACACATGATGAGAGAACAGCAAAACTGATAAAAGTCAGTTCATATCTTTTCCTTGTTTTGTAACAGAAATTCCATCTGAACACAATCAAACCATTAAAAAGAGCATTTGTTGTGTCGAGTAAGACATTAGAGAACGCCCTTGGCTGGCTAACTCGGGTGCAGCAGCAGCTGGTGTGATTGTGGCTATGCGGGCGTGGTCAGTGTGGGCTTTAAGAGAAGAAAGGGAGAAAGAGTCTGTAGGGGGGCGTCTAGTAGAGGAGGATGCGGCGCTCGATGGCCTTGCGGCAGATGGGGCACTCGCTCATTCGGTCTCCACACAGCTGGCAGGTGCCATGGCCACACATGAAGATCATGTTCTTCAGCCGGTCCAGACACACCGGACACATTGTCTGCAGACAGGTGAAGGGAAGCAATCACAGTTCATGTTTTGTTGTGATTAAGTCATTTTAACTTTCAAAAACACACTGAGAATCACTAACTGAGCCAAGCACTACATAAAAACTTTATGACAGACGTCTGATCACACAACATTTGGATCTTCCTTGGTAGTTCATGAGCCACACTTGGTTTGTGTCTACGTAAAAAAGGGTGTGTCTGGCTTAGATTATGGTAAAACCTTATTTTTTAAATGGCAGTGCACCAAATGTTCTGCTGATTTTCTATCTTTTATATAATTGTAAGTTGAATATCGTTCGGTTTTGGACTGCTGATCAAACAAAACAAGCAAACTAAAGTCATAAAGTGGGAACTTGTGACCGATTTTTAGCATTTTCTGCCACTCTTTTGACTAAAGAATTAATGCATGAATTTGGAAAAACACATCAATAAATGAATCATTTCACCATATGTTTTGTTTTCACCTCTGACACACCCAAATCAAGAGGATGCCAGCAAACTGTAACACAAAGGCTGTTGCAAAATGTCCGACACTGATGGGATGCGACAACATCTTCACATTCACTGTACCTCCGATGTGGATTATTAACGGCAGAAGAGAGAGCGCTATGTGTTCTCTGTTCTACAGCGCAGTTTGGGCTTACCTGTTCCTTGATGTCCTGGAGTTGTTGCTGTAGCTTCTGTACGTCAGCGTTGACGTTAGTGTTGTCCTTGTCTCTCTGCAAGGCTGGGATGTTTCCGCTGGCTGCTTGGACACAACAGCACAAAGGCATGTTGAGGGAAAAAAGGGAATTCACTAAGAGAGACTAAACAAAAAACAAGCTGGAAACTAGATTATATTTAAAACATCAGTTTTATGAAACAAGCCCGGATCACAAACACATACTTTCAATTTTATTACATTTGGCAAATCAGACCTGGGCTCTAGCAGTCTGTGTTGGCAATGCGTTCACTTTTAAATTACTTGAATTCAGAAATGGATACTTTGTAATTATTTGAAATATAAACTGGCACAGGACAAAACATCATACAGCGCTACTGGCATCCTAACAGCCACAGCATGCATGTGTATAATGATACCAGTGTGAAACTGCCTGAATATATTATTCGAGCACTCAACAAGAATTAGCTGGACTGAGGCCCTGTTGGGGACTCCGTTCCAGACTGGAAAACATCTGCCACAAATAGTGAGCACCAGTGTGATTCTTGGCATGTGCATCACATACATATTGGGATATACTGTTTAGGGTGCGTGTGTGTGTGTGCATCACTGAAAGAGGAAGGGAGGGGGTTTAAGGGGAAGGGATAGGGGCCAGGGCAGCACTGTGGGGTGCCCTTTAAAAAAAGGGTCTGATAAGGGAGGGGATCATAGAGGTATACTTACACCAACTTAGTGCCAGATTGTTGGGCTGGAGAAGATCCTGCGATCCCCCTGCCATAGTGTTAGAGCTCCCTGCTGGGAATAACCAGTCACATTATTATAGCAGGAGCCGTCCTCACCAGCTCAACAGTGGGCCTGAGGACCAAAACTACTCACTACAGCCTCTGAGGGAGGTTCAGAGAAGGATTCGAAGAGAAAGTTGGAAACAGTAATCAGGGAAAGAAAGGGAAATAGAGTCTACTCTATATAGAATTAATAGTTGAAATGCATAGCGGCAAGTTTTTTTTTCTTCTCTTTTTGCCATCAGCCAATGCTAAAGCATGAGTCTAATGCCTCTGCTCACTCTGTTAGAAGAACATTACAAAAATCAAGTATTAAACTGGAGAAGTAGGGAGTCAAAATAATCAAAGTGACAGATGAATTTCGTGCACTACAATTGCTCTTGTAACAGATATCGACAGTTGGTGTTACTGGGATGAAGGGAAAGGAGATAATGCTGCCCCTTGCATGAGTGTATGTGTGTTTGGGTCTGCATCCACTTTTGCATGTCTGGTAACGACTGCAAGTAAGATCTGCATGCCAGCAAGACAACACGTGAAGAAATATCAAATAATTAATACAGGGGTAAACATGAAGTTAGTGAACTTACAACAGTTTCCCTTTTAACTCAAAATAAAATCTGGAATAACCACTAGTGAGATACACCACTAAAAGAAGAATGTGGGCAATAAAACACTGTGTTCAACTTGGAGACAAGAAGATGGATTGTGAATGCAACCAAACATAAATATTTTTACTCACTACATCCCATTACTGTTCATTAGACAGTGTGAAAAGTCATATTCGGGGTAAAATTGATAACTTTCAGGGCTTCTGTGCAACTGAGAAACATTATACATTATTAACAAATAAAGTGTTTTATCAAAAATATAAATTAATTTCAAAACAGTTCTGCGTCCTTATTTAGAATTTCACTCTGTGGAAGGTATTTTAATTCAGTTCTCTTTCACATTCATGTGGGTATTAATATGCATAATACCATTATGACTACGGGATGTTTAGCATATGCTTACAAATAGGTTCCATCCATTTTATGGGAATGTGATTAGTCAAACTTTTAGAGGCCACAGAAACATGAATAAGGTAATCAGGTTGTCTGTATACATTATTGTATTCTTCAGTGCAGGTCAGCAAAACTCAATCTAGAAATGGCTTCTGGGGTTATTATAAAAACATTAGGATTTCAAAGACAAAATCCTCTCTCTATGTAGGATCTATGGCAAATTTCAGACAATGTAGCGAAGCATTTGTGAAGCCACTGTCCATTTCAGCCAATATCTAAATAGAAGCTAGAACAGATGACATGATCAAAATTGATGCAATGATTAAAACATGCCAGATCTAGAAGTGGAAACTAGTTTGGAAAGTAGGATCGATTGATTCAAATTACTTAATTTGTAAATTTCTAACATGTCTACGAGGATGAAAAAAAACCAACAACAATGTATCAGTGATGCAAACAAAGGAATAAAATGCATAAGCAAGGCAGCAACAAAGCAAAAGATAAGGGCTAAAACATATTTTTGAAACTAAAAAGAAAGAAGGAAAAAAGGGGGAAAAGGGGGAATTAAAAGGGAATGTGTGGAAGATTCACTCACTAAGGTCATCATCATCATCATCATCATCATCATCATCATCATCATCAGCGGCATCATCCTCCATACCTTTCCCTCCACAGCAAAGAACAAAGGGGGTGCGGCGTTCGACCACAGCCCGGCACTGTACGCACTTCTTCATGAGGCTGGCACAGTCTGGTGACAACAAAACACATATTGTTGAGACCAGGATACAAACGTTTTTTTTTTTTAAAGAGGCTAAATTTGAGCAGGAGATACAAATGTCAAGGTTATGATGTCGAAATATGTACTTACTCTCACAAGCGCACATGTGACCACAGGGCTGGAACAACACAGCTGCCTTTTTGTCAGAGCAGACTACGCACTCCTCGATCTGTGGAAGAGAGAAATTAAACAACAATAAAGTGAATAAAATCATCTATCTACTCTTCGTCAAGTACCTTTTCTTGTTGGTAGGACAGTAGTCCTTCTGATACCTTGGTTCTCGACTGGACCTGATCCTTGCAGATGAGACACTTCTTGACGCGAGGCGAGCAGAGAGAGCAGGTGGCGATGTGTCCACAGGGCCCGAACAGAGTGTCTCTTTTCATGTCTGAGCACACCATACACTCCTCCAGTGACTCAATGTTGCTGTTCTGAGACGGGCTGCGGGTGCCCACCTGGCCGCTGTAACATTGAGAATAAAACCAGAGTGTGTGTGAGAGCAGAAAGGAGGCTGACAGAGAACAAAGAAAATAGGGGGAGACAGAGAGACTAAAAAATAAACAGAAGACGGAAAAGGCAAGAAAAGGGAAACGTGTTTCCCTACATAAAACATTTTTAGCAAAGACAGGAAGTCATTGATTTTCCTGAGGTGGTGTTTTCTTCCTTTTTCTCTTAGGTATTGTTACAGCCGCTGTGGGTGCTTGAACATTAAAAGCACCAAAGACATTCCTGTCAGTTTATCTTGTTTATGCCTGGGTTGAACAAGGGGTTTGTGGTTGTTTAAAGACTTTTCAGAAGCATCGTAATTCAGTTTGATGCTATTTGGCCACATAAATGTGAAAAGCAGAATAAATTAAAATGATATAAAAATCTAGGTCTGTGTTTTGATATGGCCAGGGACAACCTAATGACTGTTGACGACAATTAGATTTTTATCTTTGGACAGTCCAGGTATTACGTTACATTACATTCATTTTGTCACTTACAACAAGAGAGCACACTAGCTGCTTCCCCCATTTCCAGTCTTTAGGCTAAGCTAAGCTATCTGTCTCACGGCTCCAGCTTCATATTTAATAGACAGACATGAGAGTGGTATTGATCTTCCCATCTAACTCTTGGCAAGAAAGCCAATAGGTGTATTTCCCGAAATGTCAAACTATTCCTTTAAGGGATGTTTACCTGCTCTTCTCTTTGTGGCATTTAGCCAGAGCCTTGCAGAGGCTGGGGTCAGGACACAGGTCCAGAGGGGACTGGCCCTTCTTGTTACGAATGGTCAAGTCTGCTCCGTTAGCAGCAAGGAAACAGGCAATGGATGCAGCACTCTTCTTTTCTGCCCCCTGGGTGCCCAAGCCCATGATTAACTGCAAGAAGACACACACAGACACAAAAACAGATAAAATCAGAGGCTTTCAACTTTTGACACAAGAGATTGAATATAATGGAAACAGTGTCTTATTTCTAACTTACACACTAGCACTCTAACCATTAATGCAGAGTAAAGAGTAAGACAAGTAAGGAGTCCTGATTTTAATATTATTCAGATGGCTTCAGAGTTAAATTCAGATGAACCATGTCAAAGTACTATCAGATCACCACTAATTAGCCAATCAAACCATGCCTTAAGATGGCTGTCAGGCAGTGTAACCCCCTCACCCCCACCCAAAATCCCATTAACTGTCCCGTCTCTCCCTCCTCCAGCTCATCACCTCACTCAGTCTACCCCAACTCAAAGCCTCTCTCTCTCTCTCTCTCTCTCTCTCTCTCCCCCCCTCCTCCTCTCTCTCTCTCTTCCCCCCCTCCTCCTCCCTCTCTCTCTCTCTCTCTCTTCCCCCCTCCTCCTCCCCTCTCTCTCTCTCTCTTCCCCCTTCCCCCTCCTCCTCCCCTCTCTCTCTCTCTCTCTCTCTCTCTCTCTCTCTCTCTCTCTCTCTCTCTCTCTCTCTCTCTCTCTCTCTCTCTCTCTCTCTCTCTCTCTAGCAATTTGGGCCTTCCATGTCTGATTGTCTTCAACCAGTAGCTTTTACATCTCTGCTGATGGAGCCATCGGCCCGGCTAATTCAATTCTCATCTTGAGGGGGGAGCTATGGGAGAGTGACCCAACTGCACATATCTCAATTAGGCCTGCTGTCTGTCTGTTCCGCTCCTCTGCTGGGGAACTGGGGAGGGCAGGAAGGGGGATAGGAGCGAAGAGGCGGAGGAGTAGGAGAAGAGAAAGAAGTGGGAGAGAGACAGAAGGTGACAGGTAAGGTAAGTCTGTAGCCGCAGCTAGAGCCTGTAGCCTTAAACACGTCCCTGTAGGGACTAGTGATGGGGTGTTAACATTAAGAGGGTTCAGGTCTGACATGCCCCTGTTGGCCTCTACAGAGGGACACGCTCATACAGGCTGGTCAAGAGGCAGCAGTGAGCTGGTTGACTGCTCTGTGCTATTGTCAGGCGGGCTGTCTGAATGACGGGCTGGTGCGCACTGCGCTGTCCAGTGATCTGTCATGTGTGATCTGTCAAGATTTTTCACACATCGAGCTGTGATTCACATACTGATCTTCATACAGGTGTGTATGCAGGTTCTTTAGAATGCTGCCAAGACAACCCAGTGCTGTGGTTTGTGTGTTCTCTCCATGTTTATACAGATTTGGGGATATGAATTGGAGCATGTCTTATGTCTGATATTTTTAATTAGTCAAATCAATTCGGTGACCTGGTAAAAACCCATGTTTGCTGATATATAGCAAATGTGAAAATTGTGAAAATTGTCAATGTGAAATTCTGAGAATTATAACCCTTCTCCCAACCAAAATTTAACACCAGATCTGTCAATTAAAAGCTTATTAGAAAGATAATCATAGGTTTCTATAACTATGTAGTTACCACAGAGTTATTATAGGATTACTAGAGCCACGGTAGGTATTGGTCATGATTTCTTACACTCTCAACAATGAATAATGTTCTTCAATCTAAGATGCATAATAAAATCTCCAGTGTAAATGTTGCAATAAGTTGCAACAAGTGTGTATAAAAGTGGCATAAACCGTCCCTAGCAGTGAATATGTTTGTATATTCATCAGCCCTGCAATACACTGGTGCCGTGTCCCAGTGTTCTGCCCAAGTTTTACAGGTTAAGACTCAAGAGTCCGTCAATAGGAAAAAGCATGTCTGAAGTTGGGATGGAAATAGTTTTTAAACTTAAAACTGGGCTGTTTAAACAGCCATGAGTGGCAGCAGAGCCAGTAGTGTGCCCGACTTTTCCCAGCCAAATGTATTTAGGAATATTTAACTGAATCACATCACCCTATTGGATAATAAGGTGCCACATTTCCTGATTTCTAAAATTATTGCACCTAGTCCAACATCATTGTACATCATATGTATCATGTCATAGATACATACAACTGTAGAGGAGTCACATATTTTCAGTTAGTTGTTTCCTCGTTGGTAACTGCATCTCTTGGTCATTTCATTTTTATGTATGTGCACCTTAATGCTGTGATGCCTTATGATACCTTAATGAACCTTGACCCAAGTAAATTACTAAAATCTAGGAGGAGCAGTGAGGTTAATAATAGATATATATGTACTGTGTTCTTGGAGGGTTCCCAGGGCTCCACTTTGCTGACGTCCTGCATATCTTGGAGTTGTCGCAATTGGGACAGTGTGTGGTGACGCAGTGCCTCGTGAAGTGGTGTGTCCCCGTCCTTGTCCTGCACATCAAGCTTGGCCTCTGCCCGCACCAGGAGCTGTTAAGAAAAACACATTAACAGTCACACAAACAGGCAGAAGCACTTGCAACAACCATAAAACAACTTTAATTTTATGCTACAATGCAAATGCCACAGTGCTGATTTATAAGGCTGCTGCTTACAATGAACTGAAATTGTGTGTATGTGCTGTATTCCCCCAATTATGAGGTGCATTTTCTCTTGAGTCCACAAGATGGCAACGTGGTAATCTCGATCCAACACTACGCCAAATGACTCTAACCAAGACACTGCCTCAGAGAATATTTTCCCTATACAGCATCAATCTGAAGCAGGACCTCATTCAACTGCAGGACATCAACTAGTATAAATTAAATGTGGGGCTGCACTGATGTTTTTTCTGCTCCCTTTTGTTTATAGTCCAGATGAGCGACTGATAAAGAGATAACTAGAGACAGAATCTTCAGTTTGTGGTTGATGTGAGAGGGGAAAGGACGAGGAAAAAATGATGGAAAGCATAAGAAAGGAGGATAAGAAGAAGAGGGCCCACTTACCCGGACTATCTGGGTGTGTTGACGCTCCACTGCCAGATGTAATGCCGTCTGCTGGTTGACGTTCTGGATGTCTAAGCTGGCACTGCCCTTTGAGGCGGAAACAGAGAGGAACAGACACACACAGTAAAAATATGGGCATTTCTGCATAGATTAACAACTAACCAAAATGAATCACAGATACATACATGCACACGAACAGAAACTGAAAAAGTAAAGTAAGTGTTCAGCACATGAAAGATTCTAACAACCATTCTGGCTTTATGTGCCATGACTGAACCTTCCTTCCTTCAACCCTGCCGCCCAACAAAGTATCACCTAGGGGGCTGGAAAAAAATGCATCCAACAATAACGCTGCATGTGATTGTCATTTCCAATTGCGAACACCTCAGCTGAAGAGATGTGGAGGGAAGATAAGCATTGTGATCAGGCAGTGTGTGAAATCCCCCAGTAATAAGACTGACTGACTGGCTGGCTGGCTGGCAGGGAATCTGCAGTGCACCTTGTAGTGTGGTGCAATTTCTGAATAGAAAGCTGAGCCATCACTGCGAACAAGCCCATTGCAGGGACTTGGGAAAAAGGCCGTCCCAGCTGAAAGGTAGTTTGCACAGCGAGCGTTCATGCGTTGGTATGTTGCAGCAACATTGCTGCCTTGCACCATATCCTAATTAACCCAGTTCCCACTTGGTCAGGTGACTTTTGCTGTAAACTCCTGTATGTTTTAATCTTCAGGGAGTTAAACCTGCAATCTCAGAAGGGAAAAAAGAGCATGAAGCTATGATTGCAAGAGGAGGAGGATATGAGGCCCAACAGCACTAAAGAATACCCCTTGAGGCCCTGTGAACCGTATGGATTCAATAAAAAAAAAAGGCAGTTATAGCAGCTTCAAGTGGTCTACAGCTTGCTGGCTGCAGGGAGTGCAGTAGAAGCTGCTCTTAATGGTCTGTAGTCAGGGAAAGCCAGGAGTGCAGACTGAGCTGATGCAGTTAGGCTTTGGGCTGCTTTGGGTTTCTCATAGACTATGAATAACATTTATTGTCAGTTTAAGTGATTAAGCATGCATTAAAATAAGCTTTTTATATGTATGCGAGTGCTTCTGTGTTGTTACCTGATGCACCAACAGCTCAGCCACCTCCACATGGTTGTTGAGGGCAGCCAGGTGCAGTGCGGTGTAACCATCGTCCTTTTTCTCGTCTACGATCCAAGGCCTGGGTAGTTTGGATAGCAGCACACGCATGGCACTACACAGAGAGGAGACAGGGAGAGGGGGGAAGTGTTTGAATAGGCGAAGCTGGGAAGCATGACAAAAAAGCCCAAGAAGGTACAGACAGTACAGTAAATTGATAGTTTATGATGTAAACTGCCAGAAAAAATCTGTTAATGACTGTCTTATGGTGGCTTATGGCCAGACACAATCTGTTGTAAGCAAAGACATCACAATGTCTGTACTGCTGATACACAGCATATTCCAATGGACTTTTTTTTTTTTTTTTTTACAGCAGAGCATATCCCATTTTCACACATGGGGACAAGAATACTAAATCAACTTAGGGAGGAGTTGCTTTCCCAAGCATAGTGTTATTTACATCAAGCTTTGAGCAGTACAAGTGCTGTGTGTTATTTTAGAGTACCCGTCCCCCTACAATCTCTTCTGTTAAAAAGGGAAGACACTTTTCCCTTGATGATGCGCAAAAGCGCCTATCATTGGGAGGCAAAATGGTAATTACACAAGATTTAGCTGCATTCACTCAGGTCTCCTCCTGGGGAAGACACAGACAGGGTGGGAAGGGGAAAAAAATCCATTGTTTAAACAGTGCTATTTAACAGAGGTGGCATGGCGTGGTGAAAAGAGCCAGTTTTGTGCCAGTGAAGGTCATTTAGAGGATGTGTGCCACAGAGAGACGTGGCTGCAAAGGCGACTATACAAGAGGAAGGCTGAGAAGAAGTCACAGTGTCACAGTGGGGATAAAGAGGGAGGCTGACTGTCACTCCCTACACTGAAGAAAAGAGACCATTTAACTAGTAAAAAGAAGCCACACACGTTTCCATTCCTTAAATTAAATCCAAAGATAACAAAAAACGACAGCAGAGGAAGAAAATAAAAAAACCTCCATGAAAGATAGATTTGTCTTAAGCTGAAATACAGTTTTAATTAGAAATAAGTAAATGTGAGTTAACAGCTTTCTTTCTACTTAGTTACTAACTAGCTTTCATAGCATGACAGCTTTATTTTAGTGTTGAACTCATCCATTTCCTCATGGTCTCCAACCTCTACCTCTCTTCCTACTCTTCTTGCTCTAGCCCCTGGGCACACATCCAGGCATATGGTACATGAGAATACTGAAATGAGACTCATTAATTTAATGTATGACCAGTGCATCAGTCGAGGATATGTGATGAGAAACAAAGGCTGCAAACACAGGTCTTCAATTTGTGCAAATACTATTGAATATGACGCAAGACACTTAAAGCCATATCGCTGAACTGTTCTTGTATCTTGTCTGTAGGTAGGTACACAATGTACCTTCAAATAAGCATTAAAGCAGCAACGCTGGAGGGAACACTTCTGACCTTGATTAACCCTGAATAATCATGCAGGGCATATCTTTGAACTGCGACAAAAGGAGGCAGCTGATTTTACTCTGACTTTGATATGGCTGAACAGCCCCCATGCGAGCACTGGAGTGTTTACAGTAAGGTAAATAGGGTCTGAAACAGTACAGGGAGGAAATGGGCACCAGCACAGAGCAGGAAGGCCACAGCCTGCACAATCAATGAAAACTGTTAACTATTAAGACAGAGAAGGGAAAGAAATGCAAACTAACATGCTGGCAGGCTTTCAGACTCAAGGTAATCAGGATGGTTGGTTCCCTGCGGGTTTTTGCTAAACCTACAGCTTGTCTCCATCCTTCTTGAGTAATGAAAGAGAGCATCATCAGCACACCCTCTTGCGGAAAGCAGAGAAAGAGGGGCAGAGAGGCAGGGGGGCAGGCAGTCAGCACCTCTGTACGGACAGAGATCCGGGACTGGTGTACTGCTGCAGTGATGAACAGCGCAGCACACTGATCCCAGGCTCCCTCGCTCTCTCTCTCTACCTCTCATTGCACAGAGGCTTACGCACACACACACCTGCATTGCTTGCAGCTATCTTCAACCACTTAATGCAGAGGAGCACTGCTTAAATGTGATAGCAACCGCACCCATTCTGCCTAATCTCACATTCATAATGTGTCGCCTTTGTTACAAAGAATTATTTGCTTGCGTACTGTAGATTTACCATCTCAGGGGGGACTTTTGAGTAATTTCATCCATGGCGGTCTCCCACTGGGTAGGAGTTGAGACTTAAACAAGCAAATTATTCAAGAAAAGACCTTGCCACATCAGATTCTTGCCTGAAGCTATAACATAAACTTATTCCCAGTGGTTAAATGTAGGACTCTTTTAGCTTTCTTTCAAATAAGACTGATAGACAATACAGGAATGCAGTTTTTTTTCTCAACTACAACAGTTTCCACCAGAATCAAGGGCAATTGCCCCACATAAACGCCTTTGTTCTTTTTGTGCCCATTTTCTTCCTCCTATTGGTGCAACATATAACATTTGTGCGATCTGGATTGGCTGGAAATATCTCCTATATGTAGAACAACTAGCCAATAAACGCACGCCTCATATACTATAGGGGCAGACAGGCGCCTTCTAGTGTCAGAAGCAGGCATTTGAGTGCTGGGCAGGTGTTTGCTGGTGTAGGGAGCCCCTCCAATAGAAGTCTAGATTGACAGGCTCCCTGCCACGCTGGGCGAAATGGGCGGACATTAATATTAATGCCCCATACTGGCACTGCTGCATTGCAGTTAAGCTATTTGCTGTAAAGGCAGAAAAAAAGAGAGTGAATTAAGGACCAAGAAATAAATCCTAGTTTTTTTTTTTTTATCTCTTGGGTAAGTGATGTTAGCAGTGACTGACGGGGTATGAGAGAAACTGTGTTGGCCCTTGAGGTAGGTTGTCAAGTGGGAGACAGACGAAGAGAGCGAGTCTACCCAGCTCAGGCTGCAGACCTTTCACTGAGCAGAAGACACTGACTTGACCTAGGAGTTAACATTTAGACAACTCAGGTTTATCTGCTACGAGAAGCAGACCGATATTTGGAGTGAAGTGAGGATCTCCTTACTGCAACGGAACTTTAAAATATTTTATATGGTCTCTGTGAATGCAGGAGGACGTGCAGCTGAGGAGAGGGAATGGTAGAGGAGAGAGGTAGAAGGGAAGATGTGATGGAACTGGGTCACCCTGTGAGAGATCTCAAGAATCCCTCAGGAGAGCTACACAGGGGCCTGTTGTCTTGGGCTGCAATTTGTCATTGACCAGGACGCTCTCTGACGCTCTCAGCACTGTGTGTTGGCGTTCGTCATTGTATGTAAGACAGTGGAAGTGAGTGTGTGTGCAACTGTGTGTGTGTGTGTGTGTGTGTGTGTGTGTGTGTGTGTGTGAGTGAGAGAGAGAGTGTAGGGGTCGACAGGGCCCTTCTGCTGCCCTCGCCTGGCTGACAGCCATCTGTGTGGTGGTCAGTAGCCGTTATTACAACAGGAAGTGAGAGTCGAGGGACAATAACTTGGGTAGGACAGGGCAAAATGGGAACAGTCAACATCCAGCCTGAGATTAATGGCTGTGCACAAACATATGGTTACTCTGATGTAGGAGACGTGTTTGGCATACCATCATCCATTAACTAAGGCTTCAAGCTCAAGAAAGGATCCAAATTCTGCATTGGAAATTAGTCACCAAAAGGTGCCACCTGCCTTGGGAAAATAAAATGCTTTATAAAACTGATATTGAAAATGATCAGTCTTATATGGTCAAACAGACAAATCAGATCTATGCTGGTGGGTAGAAATTAGGGGTGGGCGATATGGGCAAAAAATAATATCTCAATATTTTTGGGGATTTTGGTGGTAACGATAATCAGTCAATATCCTTTAAAATGTGATTAGAATTATCTGAGCTGGACTTGTGTCCACCAAACGCGTTTACAGCGCTGAGAGAGCTCAAAAACGTATTTTCCGAGCGCCCAGCGGTGTTAAAAGTTGAACAGATTTCAACTTGAAGCGCTCTGAGCGCTGCGCTAAAAAAAAACCCGTCTCCGCTGACATCTTTTTACCACTGAAGGCCTTTAGCGCTCTGAACGCTGAAGCCCATAGGACCCACGTCTCGGCACTAAATCAGCTGAAGTACCGGTAGCTTCAGGGACTGGAGGTGCTTGCATTTTCTCTCTACCATCGCAACGCGCTGCTAAACTGTTGCAAGGAGGATGCTAGCGAGAGGTCACGTGATCACGTCATTAGAGGTGGGCGATATATATCGTTTGCGATAATATCGTCATTGTTGTTTTGACGATGTGCAAATTTCCATTATCGAGTATTTAAATTACTTTGACAAAAACAATGAAACGCCCGCGGAAACTCCTCACATCCATTAATACACGGTGCAGCAGCGCTCTCTACAGCATGGCAGGATTCAGTCACACGACTAGTGGGCCTACGTGATCACAAGACGTGATCACGTGACCTCTCGCTAGCATCCTCCTTGCAACAGTTTAGCAGCGCGTTGTCATGGTAGAGAGAAAATGTAAACACCTCCAGTCCCTGAAGCTACCGGTACTTCAGATGATTTAGTGCCGAGACGTGGGTCCTATGGGCTTCAGCGTTCAGAGCGCTAAGCGCCTTCAGCGGTAAAAAGATGTCAGCGGAGATGGTTTTTTTTTTAGCGCAGCGCTCAGAGCGCTTCAAGTTGAAATCTGTTCAACTTTTAACACCGCTGGGCGCTCGGAAAATGAGTTTTTGAGCTCTCTCAGCGCTGTAAACGCGTTTGGTGGACACAAGTGCAGCTCAGACAATTCTAATCACATTTTAAAGGATATCGACTGATTATCGTTATCGCCAAAATCCCAAAAAATATTGAGATATTATTTTTGGCCCATATCGCCCACCCCTACACGTCATGTGATCACGTAGGCCCACTAGTTGTGTGACTGAATCCTGCCATGCTGTAGAGAGCGCTGCTGCACCGTGTATTAATGGATGTGAATGATGTGAATTAATGAATTTAAATACTCGATAATGGAAATTTGCACATCGTCAAAACAACAATGACGATATTATCGCAAACGATATATATCGCCCACCTCTAGAAGAAATACTCCATATACCTTAAACAAAATGTTTTTAACCATCAAAGTAAATCCTTG